GAGACGGAGGGTTGGTGAGTGAGTGGTGGAAGAGGTGAGTCCCCGCATATACGAAGAACAAATGAATCAGAGGTGACCAGCGGGAACAACGTACCGGTGCGACGGATGAGTGTGTGGAGAACGCACCGATGTGAGCGGGGGATTCTGGGCCGGTGACGGGGTCACTGCGGAAGCCCGGAGCACCCACCGCTTGCCAGAGAGCAGAGGCTGCTACGGACCCGGCAGTGCGGCCCCAAAATTCGCTCCTGCCACGGGGGTCCAGCCCGTCCTCTGCTTCCTGTTGGGTCAGGGGGAGGCTGCGAGACCCCCACCCACCCCACACGCCGGCAAAACCAGCTTCCTCTTCTTCCGACCGCACTGCGCTAAAGCCTTCCTTCACCTGATGACACGTGGCCCACCCGTGCTCCCAGAACAGTGCTCGGTGGCACTCCACCCTTGGTGCAGTGCAGCCCCATAGCCTAGCAGGGGGCCACTGTGTCACACCCAGCGGAGTTGGCGGTCGCGGGGAGGAGGGGGAGGTCTGTGTTGGAGTCCCGCCCCCCCACCCCAACTCTCCGACCCCGCAGGCTACAGCAACTCAGCGTGTGCCAGCCAGCACCTGCGCTCGGAGGGCGAGTACTCGCTACACAGCTACGTCCTGCACACCCTGGAGCACTCCTGGGCCCTCTTTGAGCACCTGGAGGCCGCCGTCCGCACGGGAGCACCGCAGAGCCCCAGCGGGAGGGAGGAGGGAAAGGTGCCTCCGGGCAGGGGCGCCCCAAGGCTGGGCCGGGGCGTGGGGGGCTGCACCCTGGGGACAGAGACCCGCTCGGACAAGGGGGCAGGGAGGGGAGGACGCACGGCAGGCAGGGTGCTGCGCTCGGATGCGGACACCGTGGGATTCATCCCTGGTACCGAGTACAGTCCCCTGAGCTCTGCTGGGGTGAGCCCTGAGCACAGAATTTGGAGTCAGGCCTGAGCACAGAGCCGGGAGTCAGCCCCGAGCACAGAATTTGGAGTCAGCCCTGAGCACAGAGCTGGGAGTCAGCCCTGAGCAGAGTCAGGAGTTAGCTGCGAGCACAGAGCCGGGAGTGAGCCCTGAGCACAGAGCTGGGAGTCAGTCCTGAGCACAGAGCCAGGAGTCAGCCCTGAGCACAGAGCCAGGAGTCAGCCCTGAGCACAGAGCTGGGAGTCATCCCCAAGCACAGACGAAGGAGTCAGCCCTGAGCACTGAGCCAAGAGTCAGCCCTGAGCACAGAGCCAGGAGTCAGCCCTGAGCACAGAGCTGGGAGTCAGTCCTGAGCAGACTCAGTAATTAGCCCTGAGCACAGGGCTGGGAGTGAGCCCCGATCACAGAGCCAGGTGTTAGCCCTGAGCACAGAACGGGGAGTTTGCCCTGAGCACTGAGCCAGGAGTTAGCTGTGAGCACAGAGCGAAGAGTCAGACATGAGCACAGAGCCAGGAGTGAGCCCTGAGCACAGAGCTGGGAGTCATCCCCAAGCACAGACGAAGGAGTCAGCCCTGAGCACTGAGCCAAGAGTCAGCCCTGAGCACAGAGCTGGGAGTCAGTCCTGAGCAGACTCAGTAATTAGCCATGAGCACAGAGCCGGGAGAGAGCCCTGAGCACAGAGCCAAGAGTCAGCCCTGAGCACAGAGCTGGGAGTCAACTCTGAGCACAGAGCTGGGAGTCATCCCTGAGCACTGAGCCAGGAGTCAGCCCTGAGCACAGAGCTGGGAGTCCACCCTGAGCAGTGATCCACAAATCATCCATGAGCACTGAGCCAGGAGTCATCCCTGAGCAGAGTCAGGAGTGAGCCGTGAGCACAGAGCCGGGAGTGAGCCGTGAGCACAGAGCTGGGAGTGACCCCTGAGCCCTGAGCCAGGAGCCAGCCCTGGGCAGAGACCCAGGAGTCAGCCCCGAGCACAGAGCCAAGAGTCAGCGCTGAGCACAGAGTCAGGAGTCAGCCCTGAGCAGTGATCCAGAAATCATCCCCGAGCTCTGAGCCAGGAGTCAGCCCTGAGCACAGAGCTGGGAGTCCACCCTGAGCAGTGATCCACAAATCATCCACGAGCACTGAGCCAGGAGTCATCCCTGAGCACTGGCCCTGAGCGCTGGCCGGGAGACCCGTCCCCAAGCCGCCCTCGGCCACACTCAGGCCCGTGTCCCCCCCGCAGGACGGCTGCTCCTCCCACCCCGATCACCAGCTGCAGTTCCTTCGTGCCCTGCATGGGCTCAGCATGCTGACCGCCCGGCAGGTGGCCCAGGCGCTGGACCTGAGCCCGTACGCCACGGCCTGTGACGTGGGAGGTACGTGTCCACTCCCCGCCAGGGACCCGCCCGGCCACCCGGCCCTGGGCAGAATCCCCGGGGGCTGCAGTGAACTCGGGTCCCGGCCGGGCTCCTGGGACAGGCAGTGCCCAGCTCTGGCCAGCAGAGGGCAGGCACAGACCAATAGACACAGGCATAGACTGGCCGGCGGGAGCCCGTGGACAGAGATGGACACACGGGAGCCTGGGGGGTCCCCTGGGTGGGCAGGAGTGAGCCCACCCCTTGGGCGTTGATTCCGTGAGCACTGAAGTACGAGCACTTTACAGAAAACAGACGCTACCTAGCCTCGTCCCTCCCGGGCAAAAGACCGTCCATGGTCTCATTGTCCGTTTTTTTTTCCTGGACGCTCCGTCCTGCCCTGTTTTCCTTGGCAAACGGCCCAAGCTGTCGGACCCTGGACTCTTTCCTTCCACTCCCCAGAATTTGGGAATTTTTTTTCTTTTTAGAATTTGGAAATTTTTAATATTTTGTTTTAAAAAAAAGGAAAGAATTTTTTTAAATTCTTAAATTTAAAGATTTTTTTTTTTTTAATTTTAAATTCACCGCGTCCTTTCCGGCTGGGTTTCTGCACAGTGTCCTGGCTGGTGGAGTGATAGCACAGCGGGGAGGGCGTTGGCCTGGCACGTGGCCAACCCGGGTTCGAGTCCTCCGGGCCTATTTATTTATAATGATATTAATCACCCTCGATTAATATTTTTAATTAATTATAGTAATTATCTGACACGTTGATGTTTAACTAGATTGTATTAACTGCAATCGTGCTGATTCTATTCATCATACTATATACTAATCAATTATATGGATGTTAATCAATAGCAAATATCCATTGATATTGATCTGCATGGGCTGGAGCACAGCGGGGAGGGCGTTGGCCTGGCACGTGGCCGACCCGGGTTCGATTCCTCCGCCCCTCTCGGAGAGCCCGGCCAGCTCCCGAGAGGATCCCGCCTGCCTGGCAGAGCCTGGCCAGTTCCCCGTGGCGTCTCCGAGATGCCAAACACAGTGACAACAGGTCTCACCTTGGAGACGTGCCTGGTGCCCGCTCGGGCAAATCGATCAACCACGGGAGGACTGTGCTATATTATTGATTGATTATTAATTCTGAGCGGGCCCAGTAACGTCTCCATTGGAGACTTTGTTGTTACTGTGTCTGGCATATCGATTAATTCTGAGGCAAGGAGCAGAGTAAGAGTTTATTATTATTATTGATGATTAACAACAAGTCTCACCCTGGAGACGTGCCTGGTGCCCGCTCGAGCCAATCGATGAACAGCGGGAGGACCGTGCTGTATTATTGATTATTAATTCTGAGGCAAGGAACAGAGTAAGACTTTATTATTATTATTGATTATTGATTATTGATTATTAACAACAAGTCTCACCCTGGAGACGTGCCTGGTGCCCGCTCGGGCAAATCGATGAACCACGGGAGGACTGTGCTATATTATTGATTGACTATTAATTCTGAGGCAAGGAGCAGAGTAAGAGTTTATTATTATTATTATTGATTATTGATTATTGATTGACAACAAGTCTCACCCTGGAGACGTGCCTGGTGCCCGCTCGAGCCAATCGACGAACCACGGGAGGACAGTGCCACAGTGCTCCAGTCCCTGCCGGCCGAAAGAGGTTGCTGTCGCACCGGCCGTCACATCCCATTTCCCCCAAAGCAGAAAGTGGACAGGACTCTGACGCCCCCAGGGGTGGGTCTGCTGGCCACCTCCGGGGCCCTCCCAGGTCACGGGGGATGACTGGCACCCGTCTTTGCAGGGTGCACCGGCGCCCTGGCCCACGAGCTGGCCCGGGCGTCCCCGCGGCTGACGGTGACGGTGTTCGACCTGCCCGAGGTCATCCAGCACGCGGCGGCCTTCCTGCCCGCCGGGCCGTGGACGGAGCGAGTCAGCTTCCGAGCCGGTGAGGGCCCGGCCGTGTCCCTCCTCCCGGGGAGCCGGGGGGAGGCCCCATCCTGCAGGACGAGACCCTCCCCGCCTGTCCCCTGAGCCCCCACTCCCGTCTGCAGGGACCCCCGTGTCCCGGGGAGGGTCCGTCCCCAGGGTGCAGAGTGTCCCCTAGGGCAGCCGCTCTGGCCACTCCGTGGATGTCCAGTTCCCTCCGGGGGCTCCTGGGGAGGGTCCTTCCCGCCTCTCCCGGCTCCCGGGGGTCCGGGCGTCCCTGGGCAGGGCAGGGCGGGGGGCCGTGTCCCTCCCATCTCTGCCCCTGTTTGACCCGGGGCGTCCCCTCTGGGTCTGCAGGGACCCCCGGGTCCCAGGAAGTCCCCATATTCCAGACGGTGCCCTCGGTCGTGGCCACAGGGCACTTGGTGTGGTCTCTGTCCCGTCCCGACCTCTAAGGCCGTCTGTGTGTGCGTCCGTCCGTCCATGCGTCTGTCCGTCCATCTGTGTGTGTGTCTGTCCATCCATCTGTGTGTGCGTCCGTCCGTGCGTCTGTCAATCCATCTGTGTGTGCGTCCGTCCGTCCATGCGTCTGTCCGTCCATCTGTGTGTGCGTCCGTCTGTCCATGCGTCTGTCCGTCCATCTGTGTGTGCGTCCGTCCGTCCATGCGTCTGTCCGTCCATCTGTGTGTGCGTCCGTCTGTCCATGCGTCTGTCCGTCCATCTGTGTGTGCGTCTGTCCGTCCATCTGTGTGCGTCCGTGCGTCTGTCCGTCCATCTGTGTGTGCGTCTGTCCATCCATCTGTGTGCGTCCGTGCGTCTGTCCGTCCATCTGTGTGTGTCTGTCCGTCCATCTGTGTGTGCGTCTGTCCGTCCATCTGTGTGTGCGTCCATCCGTGCGTCTGTCCATCTGTGTGTGCGTCTGTCTGTCTGTCCATCCATCTGTGTGCGTCTGTTCGTCTGTCCGTCCACCTGTGTGTGGGTCCGTCCGTGCATCTGTCCGTCTGTCCGTCCATCTGTTTGTGCATCTGTCCGTCCATTTGTGTTTCCATCTGTCCGTCTGTCCATCCATCTGTGTGCGTCCGACCGTGCGTCTGTCCGTCCATCTGTGTGTGCATCCGTCCATCTGTCCGTCCATCTGTGTGTGCGTCCGTCCGTCTGTCCATCCATCTGTGTGTGCGTCTGTCCATGCATCTGTCCGTCCATCTGTGTGTGCGTCCGTCTGTCCATGCGTCTGTCCGTCCATCTGTGTGTGCGTCTGTCCGTCCATCTGTGTGCGTCCGTGCGTCTGTCCGTCCATCTGTGTGTGCGTCTGTCCATCCATCTGTGTGCGTCCGTGCGTCTGTCCGTCCATCTGTGTGTGTCTGTCCGTCCATCTGTGTGTGCGTCTGTCCGTCCATCTGTGTGTGCGTCCATCCGTGCGTCTGTCCATCTGTGTGTGCGTCTGTCTGTCTGTCCATCCATCTGTGTGCGTCTGTTCGTCTGTCCGTCCACCTGTGTGTGGGTCCGTCCGTGCATCTGTCCGTCTGTCCGTCCATCTGTTTGTGCATCTGTCCGTCCATTTGTGTTTCCATCTGTCCGTCTGTCCATCCATCTGTGTGCGTCCGACCGTGCGTCTGTCCGTCCATCTGTGTGTGCATCCGTCCATCTGTCCGTCCATCTGTGTGTGCGTCCGTCCGTCTGTCCATCCATCTGTGTGTGCGTCTGTCCATGCATCTGTCTGTCCATCTGTGTATGCGTCTGCCTGTCCATCTGTGTGCGCATCCGTCCGTGCGTCCGTCCGTCTGTCCATCTGTGTGTGCATCCGTCCGTGCGTCCGTGCGTCTGTCCATCCATCTGTGTGTGCGTCTCTCCGTCCGTCTGTTTGTGCGTCTGTCCGTCCATCTGTGTGTGCGTCCGTCCGTCTGTCCGTCCACCTGTGTGTGCGCCCGACTGTGCGTCTGTCCGTCCATCTGTGTGTGTGTCTGTCCGTCCATCTGTGTGTGCATCCGTCCGTCCGTCTGTTCTTCCATCTGTGTGTGCGTCCGTCCATGCGTCTGTCTGTCCATCTCTGTGCGCGCCCGTCCGTGCGTCCGTCCACCTGTGTGCGCGTCCGTCCGTCTGTCCTTCCATCTGTGTGTCCGTCCGTCCATCTGTCCATCCATCTGTGTGTCCATCCGTCCACCCGCCCGCCCATCCGTGCGTCTGTCTGTGTGCGCCCCCCCCGCAGGCGACTTCTTCCAGGACGCCCTCCCCGGGGCCGACCTCTACGTGCTCTCCCGGGTCCTGCACAACTGGGCCGACGACCGCGTCCACTCGCTGCTGAGCCGCATTGCTCGGAGCTGCCGGCCAGGTAGGGAGGCCGGGCCCTGCCTTTGCCCGGCGCCCGGGGGGGCAGGTGCTGTCGGAGGGGGTTGGGGGGTGGGGTCCGAGGGCGGCAGCCGGGAGCGAGCGGACGTCGGGAGTTCGGGCAGGACTGGGGCCCTGGGCGGGAACGGCGTGGGGGGCTCGGAGCCGTGGGCCAGGCGCTGCTTCAACCCTGGGAGGCCCTGGACCTGGGTTGTGTTGCTTCCTGTGGCCAGCAGGATGGAGTGGACGCTGCTCTGTGTGTGTGTGTGTGTGTGTGTGTGTGTGTGTGTGTGTAGTGGGGGAAGGGAGAATGATCCCTGGGGTCCCACTGTGGCTTTCTCCCTCTCTGTCCTTTCTCTCTCTCCTCCCTCCCTCTCTGTCTCTCTCCTCTCTTTCTTTCCCTCCCTCTCTCCCTTTCTTCTCCCTTCCTCTCTCTCCCTCTCTCCTCTCTCTCCCTCTTCTCTCTCCCTCTCTGTCTCTCTCCTCTCTTCCTTTCCCTCCCTCTCTCTCCTCTCTCTCCCTCTTCTCTCTCCCTCTCTGTCTCTGTCTCTCTCTACCTCTCACCATCTCCTCCCTCCGTCTCTCTCCCTCTCTCCTCTCCCTGTCTCTCTCTCTCCCCTTCCCCAACTCTCATCTCTCCATCTCTCCCTCCTGTGACCTTCCCTGTGCGTCTCCCAATCTCTCCCATCTCTGTGTGGCATCTCCCGGGGTCTTCATCTCTCCCTCCTCCCTCCATCCCTTCCTGCATCTCCATCTCTCTCTCTCTCTGTCTCTCTCTCTCCCTCTCTCTCCGTCTCTTCTCTCTCTCCCTCTCTCCTCTCTCTCCCTCCCTCCCCTTTGGGCATTCTGGTTTGCAGTACAGACATTCAAAGGCGATCACGCATATCCCTTTTTCTTCTTCCACCTGTTGGAATTTTATGGGTACTTTATTTATTTATTTTATCTTTTTTTTTTTTTATTGAATCACCGTGAGATCGACCCTGACAAAGCTGTTCCTGGTTGGGTTTCAGTCCTCCAGTGCTCCAACCCCCGTCCCTCCACCAGGACACATTTCTCACCACCAGGGTCCCCCGGTTGCCTCCCATCACCCTCCCTCCAGACTGTCTCCATGGCACACACACTCTCCGTCTCTGTCTCTCGGTCTCTGTCTTTGCCTCTGTCTCTCTGTCTGTCTCTCTGTCTCTCTCTTTCTCTCCTTTCTCCTCCGGCCTCCCCCATCTCAAACTGTGCCCGGTAAGTGTGTGCCCGACCCCACACACACTCGCATGTCCTGTCCGCCTCTCCGTGTGGCCAGAGACGCGCGCACCAGTGCGCCCTGGACCTGTGCGCCTCTCCGTGCGCCTTGGACATGTCCACATGTGTCCAGAGACGCGCCCACCACTGCGCCCTGGACTGTGTGCGCCCACCCGTGCACTCTGGAGGTGTCCGCATCCCCGGAGACGCGCCCACCCGTGCGCCCTGGCGCACCCGCATCCCCGGACCCCTGCGCGCACCCCTGGGCCGGGGGTTTGGTGTCCCAGCGCGGTGCCTCTGCCCCTCCCTCCCCGCAGGCGCTGGCCTCCTGCTGGTGGAGACGCCGCTGGACGAGGAGAAGCGGACAGCGAGGGCCGGCCTGCTCCAGTCCCTGGACGCGCTGACGCGGACCCTGGGGCGCGCGCGGACGCCCTCCGAGTACCGGCTTCTCCTGCGCGCGCACGGCTTCGGGGACGTGCGCGCGCTGCCCGCGGGGGACTCCGTGCTGGCGCTGCTGGCCACCCGGACCGGGGCGTGAGGACCCCTCACACACACCACCCACCCCCACCCACCCGCCACCCCTGGCTGCGGGATGCTGTTCCTCGCGTCTCGGACGCACGCGCGCGCGTGCAGGGCGCATTAAAGACTCTGAATCACGCACGGATCGCGCCTTGGTTCCCGGGAAAGTCCACCTGCTTCCTGGCCACGGCCGGGAGAGAAGGACAAGGGAGGGTCCCCGGGCCCCCAGATCCCTGTCCCCTGCGCTCCCGCGTGCCTGGAAGGGCGCAGTGCAGGTGGGCGATGCACACGGCACCCAGTACCAAGCCCCCGGGACGCACGGACGTATAAGGAAATGCAGCCAGGGCCCACTGCCCGCCGCCTCCGCTGCCCTTGGCCACGGGAGGGCCAGGCAGGGGCGGGGTGCGGGAACGGGGGAGGGGTAGGTGCTATTTGTGGCCGGGACACGGTGTCCCAGCAGGACGCTGCCCAGTGGACACCGGGCACCTCGACTCAGGGCTCTGGGTGCGGGGCCAGCTGCCTCCTCTATCCTCGTCCAGGGGTTCTCTCGCACCCGCAGTCTGTCCCCCCCCCTCCATGGGTCTGAGAGGCAGGACAGCAGGGAAGGTGCCCGCCGGGCACAAGGCCGGCCCGGGATCAGTCTCCTGAAACACCCCAGAGGGGCACTCAGACCCTGCCAGGGCTCAGCCCCGAGCACGGAGCCAGGAGTGAGCCCTGAGCACAGGTGGGAGTCAGCCCTGAGCACAGAGCCGGGAGTGAGCCCTGAGCACCAAGCCAGGAGTGAGTCCTGAGCACAGAGCTGGGTGTGAACCCTGGGCGAGAATGCAGGATGACCTGTGAACACATCCGGAAATGGCCCTAAGCCTGGACTCTGAACTGACCTTGAGCCCGGAGCCAGGTGTTATCTGTGAGCACAGAGCCAGGAGTGAGCCCTGAACATTGATCGGGAGTCGGCCCTGAGCACAGAGCCAGGAGTCGGCCCTGAGCAGAGCCAGGAGTCGGCCCTGAGTACAGAGTTGGGAGTCGGCCCTGAGCACAGAGCCAGGAGTCGGCCCTGAGCACAGAGCCAGGACTGAGCCCTGAGCACTAAGATGGGAGTCAGCCCTGAGCACAGAGCCGGGAATGAGCCCTGAACATTGATCGGGAGTCAGCCCTGAGCACAGAGCCAGGAGTCGGCCCTGAGCACAGAGTTGGGAGTCAGCCCTGAACACATAGCCGGGACTGAGCCCTGAGCACTAAGATGGGAGTGAGCCCTGAGCACAGAGCTGGGAGTCAGCCCTGAGCCCAGCCAGGAGTCAGCCCTGAGCACAGAGCCAGGAGTCAGCCCCAAGCACAGAGCCAGCCAGGAGTCAGCCCTGAGTACTGAGCTGGGAGTCGTCAGCCCTGAGCACTGCAGCATGTCCCCCGAGTCCACCCACCAGCGCACACAGACTGGCCCACCCGCACACCCCCTCCGTGGGGGGACTGTCCCTCACTCCAACACTGTCCCCCACCCACTCCCAGCAACCCGCACTGTGGCCTCTTCTTCCTTTGGGTTGCAGGAACTTCGTGGTCCTTCAAATTTCCTCAGCAGTTTCCGGATCCTTCCTTAGAGGCCGGGGAGGGACAGTTTAGGGTGGGCTTGAGTGAGCCCACCCCCCCTGCCTCTCGGCGGCGCCCAGTTCCTGAGCGCCTTCAGCCTGTTGGCTGCACCCTGTCGGGTCTCCCAAGGTGGCCAGGCCTCCTGGCGACAGGTCACCCCTGCCCCTAGCCACAGCCCGGCTGAGGGTCCCACCCGCCCTCCTGCCAGGCCTGGCACCCATCCTTCTGGGGGTCTCGGGTCTCTCTGTCTGCCGAGAGGCTGCGAAACCCCGTAGGCTGATATACACGCGTGCATGCTTGAACACGCGTGCACACGTACACGCACACACGCGCGCACGTGCTCCAACGCACGCTTGGATATCTGTGCGCACACGGTAGCGTGTGTACCCATGCGGGGGCGCACACGGGTGGGCGCGCTCGTGCGCGCAGACCCACCTGCGTGGGCCACACACGCGGTCTCATGGGCAAGCCTGCACACAAGAGACACGCGCGTGTGCGTGCGTGTGTAACAGACACAGAGGGGGGGGACCCACGCGTGCCCGAAGACAGGGGAGCCTAGCATGTGCCCTTGGACACACACACACACACACACACACGGAAGGTCACAGATCTGCGGACAACCTGTGCGCCCAAGAACACGCCCTCATAGGTACACAGGCGCGCACTTACGGATGCGTGTACACACACATACACACACACACACACACACACGCCCTCGCAGGGCAGCCTCAGTGCAATTTAGAGCAAACTGCCCAAAATTATTCCAGAACTCCGGGAGGAAGAGGGGAGGTCTGACCCTCCCCCCCTCCAGCCCACCCAGCCCCCGCATTCCCGAAGCTTCCACCAGACTCACTCACGGGCGCTGGCACGCAGAGGCGCGCACAGGGGTGTCCGGGAGGTCCCCAAGGACAGCCCCAGGGCGCACCGGGGCAGCTCTGAGCCCTCCCCCAGGCCCTGCCTGCCCGGCCCGGCGCCGGCCAGAACCGGCAGAAGCAGCAGCTGGACCTGCCCGTCTCGCCGGCTGGCCCTGGGCAGTGACCCCCACCCCCACCCACCAAGGCCCGGGGGTGGAATGCGAAGGGCGCACGGGGCGCAAAGCTCCTTGGCAACCCCTCCCCCGCCCCCATCCCGCTGCGCCTCGCTCCTCCTTAGGGGAAGCCCAGGCCCAGGCGGGCAGAAACGCCCCCTCCTCCAAGCTCCTCGCTGACCCTCACCCCCCACCCCAGGTGTCCCGAATGCGCCCCGCCCCCAGCCGCCCGTCACCGGCCGGTCACCTGCCGGGCTGACCCAGCCAAGGACACTCGGGGCAGGCGATAAGAAAGGGGCCTGGCGTCCCGGCCCTCCCCGCAACTTTCACCTACGGGGGGGGGGGGGGGACCTCTTCTCCGCCTCCTCGCCGACACCCCGAGTGTGCGCAGCCCTAGAGAGGAGGAGGAGGAGAAAAAAAAATTCATTTTTTCTCTTGGAGCGTCCACTCAGGACACCCCCTCTTGCGCTCTGCGCTGCCCCCGGTCACACCCCTGCAGGGACCCCCGAGTTCCTTAAGCGCACAGGGAAAGAAACGAAAAAAAAAAAATCCGCGGGGCGCCGCGCGCCCCCGAGAGGGAACGCTCCAAGCGCGCGCGCGCGCGTGTCCCGGGGCGCACACCACTAAGGGGGTCGCGCGCCCACCCCCCTGGCCTTCCCGCTAGGTCAGGGGAGGGGGGCCACCGGGCAGCCCAGAAGCGCGGCAGCTGCCGCTGCAGGCCTGGACAGCCTGCGCTTTCCGGGGTGGACACGCTGCGCGTCCGTGGGGGGCCGGGGTTGGTTTCTCCCTTGGAGACGCGGGTGTCCCCCTCACCCCCCGCGCGTGCGTGCGCCTCGAGGCTGGGGAATTAATTGTCCCAGGCCTGGAGCCGTGCTAGGTGGGGGGCAAATCCCTGTGCGCGCAGGGGTCCGAGCGCTGGGGACGGGGGTCGCCGTGGTGGGTTCCTGGGGGCCACCTTTAGGGCTCCCCCGGCTGCGTAAAAAAAAAAAGGGGGGTCGGAGGCGGCCTGCTGGCATGCTCTGGGGTCACCAAGGGTTAGCCTGGCAAGGTCGCAGCCCGGGGAGGCCCGTAGGGGGCGGGGGGAGGGCGAGGCCCCAACCGGGGGTCTCCCAGAGGGGTCAGGACTGCAAAATATTGGAGAAAGGGGCGCACCCCCTTGGCACCGGGGCAAGCCCTTGCGCCTGGCCCATTAGGGGGTCGCAAAGGAGCCTTGATTACTGGCCAGGTGGGCTTAAGGGGGGCTTGACTGGGCCAACAGGGTGCGTCACAGGGACAGCCGAAAAGGGACAGATCAGTGGGGGCCTGGGGGGTCCCCAAGACTAAATTTGGGGACAGGTGGTGGGGCCGGGTCCCCCAGGGGACAGTCACAACCCCCTCCCCAGCTTCAATCAACGCTGGGGGGGGCCTCATGCATACCCCCGGGGGTCCGGGCGCAACCCAGGCGCGGGCAAGGGGCTTGCAACGTGGACACTGTCCAGCGTGTCCACCTCCAGGGGGGCCGCACTGGGGACGCCTCAAAGCAGGGAAGAGAGCTCGGGGGTCCTCCCATCCGCACCCTGCAGGGCGCAGCCCCCCGAGCACGTCCGGAGGGTCCAGCCTGTGCAGCCCGGCCAGCCCCCCGCAGGCCAGCTCCGGCCGTGACCTTGACAAGGTCACTCCGGCCCGCAGAGAGGCGCGCAGAGTGCCGCGCTGCGGACGGGCCGGGCGCCGGGGAAAAGCGGCGCTGACGGGCAGGCGGAGCGGCCAATGGGCGGCGCGGAGGGCGGAGGGGGCGGTGCCGCCCCGCGCGCGACGAGGCCAATGAGCGGCGCGGGGCGGGCCCTGAAAGGAGCAGGGGCAGCCAATCAGCGGCGCGGGGCGGGGCCTGGTTGGCTCAGCGCGGCCAATGGGCGGGCCTGGTTGGCGCAGCGCGGCCAATGGGCGGGCCCGGTTGGCGCAGCGCGGCCAATGGGCGGGCCCGGTTGTTGCAGCGCGGCCAATGGGCGGCCCCGAGCGGCGCGGCGCGGCCAATGCGGCACGCCCGCGGGGGCGGGGCGGCGCGGCCAATGGGAAGCGGGGGGCGGGCCCAAGCGGCGCGGCTCGGCCAATCCGGGCCGCCCGCGGGGGGCGGGGCCCGGCGCGGCCCCGGCGGCCAATGGGCGTCGCGGCGCCGCCGGGGGGCGGGCCCGGCCGGCGCGGCTCGGCCAATGGGCGTTGCGGCGCCGCCAGGGGGCGGGCCCGGCCGGCGCGGCTCGGCCAATGGGCGGCGCGGGCGGGCTCGGGGGCGGGGCCGGCGCGCCCTAGCGGCTGCGCGCGGCGCGGCCCGTCCTTTCGCTCCCGGCGGCGCAGGGCTGAGCAGCCAGCGGCGCGCAGCCTCCGCTCCCCGTCCGCCCCGCGCTCCTCCACCACCATGACGGAACAGGCCATCTCCTTCGCCAAGGACTTCCTGGCGGGCGGCATCGCCGCCGCCATCTCCAAGACGGCCGTGGCGCCCATCGAGCGCGTCAAGCTGCTGCTGCAGGTGCGCGGGGGGCCGGCGGCGGCGGACGCGGGGGGACGCGGGGGCCCGCCGGAAGCGCCGGGGCGCGACGCTTTGTCCGCCCGGGGCCGCCGCTTCCGGGCGCGGCGGGTCACGTGGTGGCGGGGGCGGGGCCGCGCAGGCGCCGTGCGGGCCGAGGGCGGGGCCGCGCAGGCGCGCTGCGGGCCGGGCCCGGGGGCCGCGCATGCGCACTCGCTTCCCGCGTGCCAGCGGGCACCTCCCGGGCGGCGGCGGCGACCTTGCAGGCCGCAGCTGCCCTCTGTCGCCTCGGGCGCGGCTGGCACGGCCCCGAGGGCACCCGGGGCGTGTCCCCGAGCTGGGCCCGGCTCGGCGTGCGTGTGGCACACGTGGCACTGCTCCCCCTTCCAGCCCGTCGCTTCAATGCCACGCCGTCCCGGGTCACCTTGCAAACGCGGGGGCGCGGCCCAGGCCCAGCCACACGCGATTTCCATCGTATTGCAATTAATTTTCTTTTTTTTTTGGATGATTGAAAGCCGAAAGTGCAAAAATGTTAACCCGGTGGACCGCTAGCATCGCTCCAGGTTTATATAATCCTAGCAGAGCGGCGGCCGGTTGGCAGTGCAACATTGTTACTTGCACCCGACTCGCTGGGAGCAACATTGTTTCTTGCACCAGTCTGGCTGGTTGGCAACATTGTTGCAGGCTTTAGAGTAGCCGAGCGACGGCGCTCCCTGGGTGGGAGCCAAGTCGCCTTATTTAGTTTTTTTTTTTGGAAACATTGTTGCAATCGCTTCCGAATTGTTTCCAGGATTGCTGCAATGCCGCGTTCGGTGCTGACACATTGTAGCACCCTTGAGTGTGTACAGAATTTTTTTTAGTCGTCGTTTTTGCCGGTGTTGCTCTGCCTTATGACATTTATAAGGGTTTCCCGAGTGTTCACAGACGGACCCCCTAGTGCTTGACAGCAACTTTTTTTTTTTTATAATGGCAACGTGTGATTTTTAGTCATCTCCCCATTTCCGTAGATATTTAGTATCTTGTTGCCCGTGGAGCTGCTACTGTTGTGTGTGGCCTTACGGGATCTGCAGTGCGGGTGTTGCAAATACGTGAGGTTAAGGTTAGGACTGGAGTGTTACACGCCTGGGGCAGGCAATGTTTCCCTAGTTAAGGGGTGTGTGTGTGTGTGTTGCGTTCCCAAGTTCAAAGTTTTGTGTCTACGTATGCCAGCTGCTGTTTCCCCCAAATTCAGGGGGGTAGTGTGTGTGTGTGTGTGTGTGTGTGTGTGTGTGTGTTGCATTCCCAAGTTCAAAGCTTTCTATGTGTGTGCCTGCTAGGGTCTGTGTGTGTGTTGTGTTCCCAAGTTAAAAGCTTTCTATGTGTGTGCCTGCTAGGGTCTCTTGGTGTGTGTGTGTGTGTGTGTGTGTGTGTGTGTGTGTGTGTGTGTGTGTGCTCAGTTCCCAAGTTCAAAGCTTTCTCTCTCTGGGGACCAGAGCGATAGTACAGCGGGGAGGACATTTACCTTGCACGCAGCTGACCCGAATTCGATCCCCGGCGTCCAGGCACCACCAGGAGTAATAATCATTCCTGAGTGCAGAGCCAGGAGGAAACCCCCCTGACCGTTTGCAGAGTGAGACCCCCCAAAAACAAGCCCAAAAGAAAAGCTTTCTGTGTGTGTTTCCCGAGTCAAGACGGGGCGTGCGCGCGCGTGTGCGTCTCGGGGTCCCGCGTTCAGAGCCTGTGTCCGAATCTCACGCCGCCCCGGCCCCTGCCCCCGCAGGTCCAACATGCCAGCAAACAGATCGCGGCGGACAAGCAGTACAAGGGCATCATGGACTGCATCGTCCGCATCCCCAAGGAGCAGGGCATGATGTCGTTCTGGCGGGGCAACCTGGCCAACGTCATCCGCTACTTCCCCACGCAAGCCCTCAACTTCGCCTTCAAGGACAAGTACAAGCAGGTGTTCCTGGGGGGCGTGGACAAGCACACCCAGTTCTGGCGCTACTTCGCGGGCAACCTGGCCTCGGGCGGGGCGGCCGGCGCCACCTCCCTCTGCTTCGTGTACCCGCTGGATTTCGCCCGCACCCGCCTGGCGGCCGACGTGGGCAAGTCGGGCACCGAGCGCGAGTTCAAGGGCCTGGGCGACTGCCTGGTCAAGATCAGCAAGTCCGACGGCATCCGCGGCCTCTACCAGGGCTTCGCCGTCTCCGTGCAGGGCATCATCATCTACCGGGCCGCCTACTTCGGGGTCTACGACACCGCCAAAGGTGGGCGGGGCTGCGCGCCCGTGTGTGTGTGTGTGTGTGTGTGTGTGTGCGTGCGTGCGCGCACACAGGCACACTCACACACACTTTCACATACAGGGACATACACACTCAGCCCTCTGTTCTCATGTCACCTGACAAGCACACACACACACACACACACTCTCTCTCTCAGCCCTCTGTCCTCATGTCACCTAGGCAAGGACACACACACAGATACACACAGAGATACACACACACACACTCAGCCCTCTGTGATCATGTCACCTAGGCAAGGAGACACACACACACACACTCAGCCCTCTGTCCTCATTTCACCTGGCAAGCACACACACACACACACACACACACACACACTCACTCTCAGCCCTCTGTCCTCATGTCACCTAGGCAAGGACACACACATACAGATACACACACACACAGATACACACACACTCAGCCCTCTGCACCCATGTCACCTAGGCAGGGACACACACACACACACACAGCCCTCTGTCCTCATTTCACCTAGGCAAGGACACACACACTCGCATACAAATACACACACTGTCACAACCCTCTGTCCTCATTTCACCTAGGCAGGGACACACACACATACATACACACACACACACGGGAGACACACTCAGCCCTCTGCCGTCGTTTCACCTAGGCAAGGAAACACACACACACTTAGCCCTCTGCCCTCATGTCACCTAGTCAGGAACACACACACACACAGCTCTCTGTCCTCATTTCACCTAGGCAGGGAGAGGGACACACACACAGAGACACACTCAGACCTCGGCTCATTTCACCTAGGGACTCACACACACACACATACATACTCTCACATACATACAGACAGACACACACACTCAGCGCTCTGCCCTCATTTCACCTGGGCAGGGACACAGACACACACACAGACACACTCAGTCCTTGGCTCATTTCACTTAGGGACTCACACACATGCATGCACACACTCACAGGCAACGCACTCAGCCCTCTGTCCGCATTTCATTTAGGCAGTGACACACAAACACACATAGACACACTCAGCCCTCAGCTCATTTCACTTAGGGACTCACACACATGCATACACTCACATACACACATGCACTCAGCCCTCTGTCCTCATTTCACGTAGGCAGGGACACACACACACGGGAGACACACTCAGCCGCTGGCTCATTTCACTTAGGGACTCACACACACACACATGCATACACTCCCACATACAGACACAGACACACACACACTCAGCCCTCTGTTCATTTCACTTAGGGACTCACGCGTATGCACAGACTCACAAGACACTCACACTCAGCCCTCTGTCCTCATTTCACTTAGGCCGAGACTCAGACACACACACACGCACGCACGCACACACAGAGACACATTCAGCCCTCTGTGTTCATTTGACTTACGGACTCTCACACACACGCACACACACAGACACTCACACTCGGCCCTCCGAGCTCATTTCACTGAGGGACTCACGCACATGCTCACACACACACACTCACATACAGACACGGACTCAGCCCTCTGTGCTCACTTCTCTTAGGGACTCACGCACCCTCACACACAGACACTCAACACAACACTCACACGCTCGGCCCTCCCTCCGGTTCATTTCACATAGGCAGGGGTTCTTCCTCCCCTCCCCCTCCCCCGCACCCACCCAGAGTCTTGCCCCTTGACCCCCCAGAACTCCCCTGTCCTGTTGCGCCCAAACTGCCCTGCTGACTCCAGCAACCCTGCAATCGTGTTTTATGGCTTTACAGCCCTAAAAGGTCCCGGAAAGAAAGTCAGAGGGTCCGGGTCAGGCCGCACCTTGTAACCTCTCCGAGGACTTGAGCTGAGGGCCAGCTACCCCCATCACACACAACTCACACAGACACACACACCCGGGAAGGGCGAGGGTGGGCTCACGGGTGGGTCTCTGACTTCGTGGAGGACACATGACAGTGGACGGGCTGTTTTCTCTCTGTGTGTGTGTGTTTTGGTTTTTTTTTGTTTTTTGTTTTCTTGGGGGGGTGTAATCCCTCCTGGCGGTGCTCGGGGGGACCCTAGGGGATGCCGGGACTCGAACCCGGGTCACCCGCGTGCCAGGCCAACGCCTTCCCCGCCGGGCTCTTGCTCCAATCTCCAAATTATTTATTTTTTAAACCGCTAAATTGTTCCTTTTTTTTTTTTTTTTTTTTTTTTTGCTTTTTGGGGTCCCACCCGGCGACAACAGGGGTCCCTCCTGGCTCATGCACTCAGGAATCCCTCCTGGCAGTGCTCGGGGGGACCCTGTGGGAATGCCGGCACTCGAACCCGAGCCGGCCGCGTGCCAGGCAAAAACGCCGTCCCTGCTTGCTGTGCTCTCTCTCCAGTCCCCAAATTTTTTTTTTTTTATTTTTAAACCACTAAATCGTTCTTTTGCTTTTTGGGCCCCTCTTGGCTCTGCACTCAGGAATGAGTCCTGGCGGTGCTCGGGGGGGGGGGGGGGGGGGACCCTAGGGGATGCCGGGGCTCGAACCCGGGTCGGCCGCGTGCAGAGGCCCACGCCCTCTGCACTGGGCTCTCGCTCTGGCCTCTATAAATTTTTATCATTATTTTAAAATTTTTTATTTATGCTTTGCTTTTTGGAATCCCTCCTGGCGGTGCTCGGGGGGGGGGGGGGGACCCTAGGGGATGCCGGGACTCGAACCCGGGTCAGCCACATGCAAAGGCCAACACCGTCCCCACGGGGCTCTCTCTCCTCTCGCTCCATCCCCCAACTGGTGGTTCGTCTGTGTCCACGCGTGGTCACTCACATGACCCCGTCCCCCACCCCACGCCCCCCGCCCCCCCCCCCCCAGGCATGCTCCCTGACCCCAAGAACACGCACATCGTGGTGAGCTGGATGATCGCCCAGAGCGTGACGGCCGTGGCCGGCGTGGTCTCCTACCCCTTCGACACCGTCCGGCGGCGGATGATGATGCAGTCGGGCCGCAAAGGAGGTGGGTGTCCTCCCGCTCCTTGGGGGGGGGGGGGGGTGGCCGGGCGGCCCAGTGGGCGGCGCTCGGCCCCGGTTTCTCACACCCGCGCCCCGTCCCCACCCACAGCGGACATCATGTACACGGGCACCCTGGACTGCTGGACGAAGATCCTGCGGGACGAGGGCGGCAAGGCCTTCTTCAAGGGCGCCTGGTCCAACGTCCTGCGCGGCATGGGCGGGGCCTTCGTCCTGGTCCTCTACGACGAGCTCAAGAAGGTCCTGTAGGGCCCCGAACCCCGACCCACTGGACGGGCGGGCGGGTGGGCGGGCGGCCCCTCGCTCACCCCCGCCCACCCGCCCGGTCCCGGCCAGTCCTGCCTTGGGGCCCCCCCGGGAGCCACAGGGGACCCCCACCCCTCACCTCCCCGCCCCCGGAGGAGGCCTCCGATGCGGCCACCCCCCGCTGTGTCCAGTAGACCTAGAGTCCAGGCCGGCCACGCCCACCCCCGCCCGCCCCCGTCTATTTAAAGAATCGAGTCCCGTCTCCCTCCTGAGTTTGTACCCCAGGAGCCCACCCGCCCCGCACAGCCGGTTGCCGCCAACTCCAGCCGCCTCTCTGCCCCCCCTCCCCTCCCTCCGTCCCTCCCTTGGGCGCGTCTGCTGCAGAATAAAAAGAGGACACAGCCCCTGGCCCGCTGCCCCGCTGCGCCTGCTGTCCACGGCGGGGTGGGACCGGGGTGCGGCCTCGCCACTCCCCTGGGCGTCCACGGGGACTGTTCTGCAGGGAACCCCAGGGCCTTTGCACGGCCGATGCAGCAGCAGGACCCGTGTCCTTGGACGGGGGACCGCAGGGCCTTTGCACAGCCGTGCACCCGGGCTGCCGACCATCAGGGCCCACTGCAGTTGGGGAAGGGGCCTGTCCCCTTTTCCTGGACGTCCACAGGGACCCTTGTCCTTGGACAAGGGACCCCAGGGCCTTTGCACAGCCACGCACCCAGACTGCCATCCATCAGGGCCCACTGCATGTTTCTTTGGCAAGGGGCCTGTCCTCTCCCCTGGACGTCCACAGGGACCCTTGCCCTTGGACGGGGGATCCCAGGGCCTTTGCACAGCCATGCAGCAGGACCTTTGTCCTTGCACAGGGAACCACAGGACCTTTGCATGGCCATGCACCCACACTGCCATCCATCAGGGCCCACTACAGTGTGGGGATGGGGCTTGTCCTTGGACAGGGAACCCCAGGGCCTTTGCACAGCCATGCACCTGGACTGCCGACCGTCAGAGCCCACTGCAGTTGGGGAAGGGGCCTGTTCCCTTTCCTGGGCATCCACAAGGACCCTTGTCCTTGGACAGGGGACCACAGGGCCTTTGCATGGCCATGCACCCACACTGCCATCAGGCCTGCTGCAGGGTGGGGGACTTGGAGGCCTGTGCTCTCCCCCGGAAGTCCACAGGGACCCTTGTCCTTGGGCAGGGAACCCCAGGGCCTTGGCATAACCACACTCCAGGACTGCTGTCCACTGCAGGGCAGTTGTGGGACTTGTCCCCTCTCCTGGGCGCCCCAGGACCTTTGCACAGCCACGCGCCAGACTGCCCCATAGAGACGCTTCAGTGTTTTAATAGTGAAGCCAGCGGCTCCCAGCCCATGCCCTGGGCTCGCGGGGCCGGTTCCAGCCCTGACCCGTGTCCCGGGGTCCAGAGCCCTGAGCCCTGCCAGCAGGGATCCGCCTCTAGGGCCCCCCCGAGACCAGGCCGCCCAGTGTCCTAACTACTGCACAGTCCAGCCCTGGAGCCCGACAAGGGTTTCTGGTCCCCAGCTGTGGGGCATGTACGTCTACGGGGAACCCCAGGGCCTTTGCACGGCCATACAGGAACCCCTGGACCTCCTCTGTCCACTCTCCGGGGCGTCCACCGCCCCTTCCTGTGCATCACAGTTCCTGGACAATCTCCACGGTGGGCCCTGGGCAGTCCTGCTTGTCCTGGAACACCTGCGGGTGGCAAGAGGCAGGTGAGGGGGACTGCGGGTGTCCACCCCCTGGCCCGCAGGGTCCACCCCAGCCTACCAGGTGGCCGCTGGGGAGGTGGTCACCGAAGGGGTCCCTCAGCTGTGGGATACGGGGGAACAGCTTCTCGGTCAGCGACGACCTGGTCAGGGGAGGGAGAAAGTGCTGGACGTCATCGGCTGGTGGTGGTCACTTCCATCCACCCCAGACCCCCAGCCGGGCACCCCCTGCCCTTTTGCGCTGGACACTGTCCAGATCCTCAATGCCAGCACCGACATCCCACCCGGGAAGAGCCCCCAAGAACGCCCCCCTGTCTCCGTCCACTCCCCTGAGGACAGTGTCCAGCAGAGTAAGCCGCGGTCCCGCTGACCCCTTGACCCCCCAGTGTCCACCTGGAGGCCCGGCCGGCGAGGACGGAGACGGCCCCGCCCCCCTGGACCACCGCGCGCTCGCGCGCCCGTCACCCTCACCTGGACCACAGGACCAGCGCGGCCGTGGCCACGAGCAGCGCGCCCAGCACGGCCAGCGCCGCCAACACCCACGCGCCTCCGGGGGGCGCGGGGTCATCCGCCTGGCAGCCTGTGGGGGGCATAGCGGGACATGAAGGACTGGCAGGGGGGTCCCTTGCGCGCCTTTGGGGACCCCCGAGGCCTGGCACCGCCCACCCATCCCCTCCTCCGTCTTGAGCCCCGCGAGCGCGCGCGCTGGTGCGTGAGTGGGTGCGTCCCGGGACTGGTGGGCGTCACCGCGGGGGGCGCCTGGCTCCACTCACTGAAGTGCTGGGGGGCACCCCAGGGCCCCCAGTGGCCGTAGTCCAAGCCCTGCGCGCGGACCCGCACCACGAAGTCGCCCGCGTGCGGCAGAGACAGGCGGTTCTCCCAGGTCTGCAAGGGACGGGGCAGCGGAGGGGCTTGGGGGAGGGGGCTTGTCCCCGCAGGAGGAGACGCAGACCCCCGCGCCCCGGCGTGCCCAGGGACGCCCGGAGCCCCCCCAAGAAACTGGACATCCACCCAGTGGCTGGTGCCCCTCGGAGATACCTGCATGTCCCCACTCTGCGCCCTGGGAGGTCGGGCCCTCCCTGGGACACGGGGGTCCTTACGGGTGGGGGGCGTCAGGGAGGGTCTTCTGCCTCCCTGCAGACCCAGAGGAGGCAGAGAGTCGCCAGAAAGGTGGGGTTGTGGTCTCCTGCGTCCCCTTCGCTGAGGGACAGTCTGGCAGGGAGCTGGGTTGGGGGTGGGGGGTTTGCCCCCGGCCCAGCCCCAGGGGAATTTCAGGACCAAGTGACCCAGAAGCACTTGGGTCACTCCCAGCTGCTGGGCTGCAGGGCCTTGTCCCGTGGCCGTGGCCGTGGCCGTGGCCGGAGGGGTCGTACACGCCCACGTGGACTCACCGTGCGTGTCTGGGGTGCACTGCCACCCTGGAAGAGAAAAGGGAAAAAAAGGTGGGTGGTGGGTCCCGTCCCCACCCAGAGGACCCTCAGCCGCCCTCTCTCCCCCCTGGCGTCCAGACCAGCACAGGGGGCTTTGGGCCAGGAAGGATCGCAGCCGGTGGCCCCTGAGGAAGTGCCCGGTTGAGAAGCGTCCCCAGGAAGCGAGTGGCCGGTGGGCACGTGTGTCGCCCTCAGCTTCTCAGCGCCCCACCGCAGGGTGGGGGCAAAGTCCAAACGGACACAGTGAGGGGTGATTCTGTAGCAAGGTGCAGATCCGCTAGACCCACGAGGTGGGAGGGTCTGGGGTCTGTCTGGGCGGGGGGCCAGGAAATTGTCTTCTTCTACATGCGTGAATGAACGGACCCTTTCAGCTGCAGGGGAACGCCGGAAGAATCTACACTCAGGCGGGGGGCTGGAGCGAGAGCCCAGCGGGGAGGGCGTTGGCCTGGCACGCGGCCGACCCGGGTTCGAGTCCCGGCATCCCCTAGGGTCCCCCGAGCACTGCTAGGAGGGATTCCTGAGAGCATGAGCCAGGAGGGACCCCTGAGCATCGCCGGGTGGGACCCCAAAAAGGAAAAAAAAAAAGAATCTGTACTTGGAGTCCCTAACACAAGAACCGACACCCGGAGTCACTGCCACGGGTACCTACGCTGAAATCAATCCCTAACGCCACAGACCGTTCTGCGAGCACAGAGCCAGGAGTAGCCCCTGAGCACTGCCGGGCGTGGACCCCAACCCCACCCCTCGCCCTGAAAATTTGAGAAGAAAAAAGGAATTTTCCTTGCGAGCCAGCCTGTGACTCAGAGGATGCGGCGGGGGGGTGGGCATTGGAAATGGGCCCTGCAGGAAGTGGCTGGTTCCGTCCTTCCCTCCGGAGTCAGCGGGAGTTTCTTCCGGTCCCGGCGGAAGGGGCCCTGCCAGCTCCCTCGGGGGCCCTTGGGTGCACGGCTGCTGTCAGACGGGACCGAGTGTGTGTGTGTGTGTTGTGGAACTCACGTGACTGGCGCGCACGCATCCGCGTGAGCACGCCATCGTTCCCAAGCTGCACTCTGAACACGCGTGTGCAGGCGTGGGACTGCATGTGCGTGCATCTGCCTACGTGCCGTCATCCCTGCGGAGACGTGCTCACGCGTGAGTGCAGGTTCAGACGTGACGGTGTGCAAGTGTGTGGGCATTCATGTGTGAGCTCGTGTGTTTTCATACATGGGATCGCATGTGCACATGTCTGCGTAAGCACGCTTGTGTTCATGTGTGAACTGTGTATGACAGGCACGTGACTGTAGACATGTACGTATGCAGGTGTGGACTTGTGTATCTTCAAATGTGATCACAGATACATGCTTGTATGTAAGCATGCGTGTGTCCGTGTGTGAACTGTTTTAGACATGCAACAATACACGCATGTGTCCGTGTGTGAACTGTCTTAGACATGCAACGATACATGCATGTGTCCGTGTGTGAACTGTCTTAGACATGCAACGATACATGCCTGTGTCCGTGTGTGAACTGTTTTAGACATGCAACGATACATGCCTGTGTCCGTGTGTGAACTGTCTTAGACATGCAACGATACATGCATGTGTCCGTGTGTGTGAACTGTCTTAGACATGCAATGATACATACATGTGTCCGTGTGTGAACTGTCTTAGACATGCAACGATACATGCCTGTGTCCGTGTGTGAACTGTCTTAGACATGCAACGATACATGCCTGTGTCCGTGTGTGAACTGTCTTAGACATGCAACGATACATGCCTGTGTCCGTGTGTGAACTGTCTTAGACATGCAACGATACATGCCTGTGTCTGTGTGTGAACTGTTTTAGACATGCAACGATACATGCATGTGTCCGTGTGTGAACTGTTTTATACATGCAATGATACATGTATGTCTGTGTGTGAACTGTTTTAGACATGCAACGATACATGCATGTGTCTTTGTGTGAACTGTTTTAGACATGCAACGATACATGTATGTCTGTGTGTGAACTGTCTTAGACATGCAATGATACATGTATGCATTCATGTGTGATTTTGTGTGTTTTCAAATGTGATCCCAGAGACATGCCTGTGTGCAAGAATGCCACTTACGTACATGTGCTGCGAACTCCTGTTCTCACACATGTAAGTGCAGGCATGTTTCTTGTAAGCATGACTTTCGGCACATGTGTTCACGTGGGCACTCATCTGCTTTCATACACGTGACTATGCACGTGTGTGTCTGTGGGCATGCATGCAGGTACTCACATGTGTCACATGTAAAGGGCTTTTCAGACATGTCACCGCATGCGCAAGCATGCCTGGATGCATGTTTGTGCATGAAGTCACGTGTTTCCATACATGTGACCATGTGTAAAGCTTGTGTGTGTTCACGTGTGGACTCCTGTATGTGCAGACTCGTCACTGCCCATGCGTGCGTGTGCTGACATGCCGGTGTGTGCATGGGGGAACCTGTGTTTTCAGATATCGCCACGCGTGAGTGCAGGTGTGTCCAAGCATAGCACGTTGTGTGGTGAACTCATGCATTTTCAGATGTGGGGGGCACGCCTGTGTGTCTGTGTGCGACCCTGCTTTATGCACACGTGTGCCCGTGTTTTTCAGACTCGTGTGTGTGTCTGTGTGGAAGCACACCCTAGCCCGTGTGTGTCCCTGTGGACGCCCGTGTTTTAGATCGGTGACTATGTGTGCACTTGTGTGCCACCCTGCCTGGATGCACGTGTGTACACACGTGTTTTTCAGACACTTGTGTAGGCATGTCCATGTGCAAGCACACCCTAGCCCATGTGTGTCCCTGTGAGTTCTGTGTTTTTGGTGCGTGGCCGCGTTGCATGTGTGTGCCACTCTGCACATGTGTACATATGTGTTTTTCAGACACGTGTGTGTGCGTGTCCGTGTGCACGCACGCCCTGGCCTGTGTGTGTCCGTGTGAGCACCCTTTTTTTAGATCCGTGACTATGTGTGCACGTGTGTGCCACCCTGCTTGTATGCACATGTGTGCACGCGTGTTTTTCAGACACGTGTGTATGCATGTCCATGTGCAAGCACGCCCTGACCCATGTGTGTCCGTGTGGGCGCCGTGTTTTTGGTGCGTGGCTGCGTTGCATGTGTGTGCCACCCTACACATGTGTGCATACGTGTTTTTCAGACACGTGTGTCCATGTGCATGCACACCCTGGCCCGTGTGTGTCCGTGTGAGCACCCTTTTTTTAGATCCGTGACTGTGTGTGCACTTGTGTGCCACCCTGCTTGTATGCACATGTGTACATGCATGTTTTTCATGCACGTGAATGTGTGTGTCCATGTGCACGCACTCTTTGGCGTGTGTGTGTCCGTGTGGACGCCCGTGTTTTAGACCCGTGACTGTGTGTGCATGTGTGTCCCACCCTGCTTGTATGCATATGTGTACACGTGTGTTCTTCAGACACATATGTTTGCGTGTCCATGTGTAAGCATGCCCTGGCCCGTGTGTGTCCATGTGAGCTCCCGTGTTTTAGATATGCAATTGTGTGTGCACTTGTGTGACACCCTGCTTGTATGCACATGTGTGCATACGTGTTTTTCAGACACGTGTGTGTCCAGGTGCACGCACGCTCTGGCCTGTGTGTGTCCGTGTGGACGCCTGTGTTTTAGACCCGTGACTGTGTGTGCATGTGTGTCCCACCCTGCTTGGATGCATGTGTACACGCGTGTTTTTCGTGTGTGTGCGTGTCCGTGTGGGCGCCGTGTCTCGGCGCGTGTCCGTGTGGGCGCCCGTGTCTCGGCGCGTGGCTGTTACCTGCTGCGTCGTCACCTGGTACTGGAAGCCCGTCTGGAGGCGGCTGGACACGGCCCAGCGCAGCTCGGCCCGGGAGCGGTTGCAGGTGCTGCTGAGGTTGCCGGCACTCAGTCGCTCTGCGGCGGGCAGACGCGGGCCCTGGTCAGCCCCCCGCGAGCCACGGGACCCGCCCGCGCACGCCCCGCAGCCCCACAGACACGGGAGGACACGGGAGGACACGGGAGGACTCGCGGCCACGTGGGCGGGACCAGCGCGCGTCTCTGGCAATTGCAGCTTCGGACCACAGGGAGGAGCCGTCGCACCCAAAGGACTTTCTCTCCTCCCGTCCTCCCTCCCTCCATCCCTCTCTCCCTCTCTCTTCCTTTCTTTCCTTTCTCTCCTTCCTCCTCCTTCCCTTCCTCCCATCCTTCCTCCCATCCTTCCTTCCTCTTTCTTTCTTTCTTTCTTTCTTTCTTTCTTTCTTTCTTTCTCTCTTTCTTTCTCCTTCCTTCCTTCTTCCTTCCTTTCTCTTTCTCTTTCTTTCTCTTTCCCTCTTTCTCTTTTTCTTTCTTCCTTTCTTCCTTTCTTTCTTTGTTTCTCTTTCTCTCCGTCCTCCCTCCCTTCCTCCCTTCCTCCCTCCCTTCTCTTCCTGCCTTCCTTTCTCTTTCTTTCTTCCTTTCTTTTCTCTCCGTCCTTCCTTCCTCCTTCCTCCATCCCTCCCTCCTAAGTTCCTCTCTCCCTTCCTTCATTCCTCCCTTCCTCCCTCCCTTCCTTCTTTCCTTCCTCCTTCCTCCTTCCTTCCTTCCTTCCTACCTTCCTACCTTCCCTTCCTCCTTCACTTCTTTCCATTCTCTTCCTCTTTTCCTTCCTTCCCTCCCTCTCTCCCTTCTCCTTTTCCTTCCTTCCCCTTCTCTTTCCTTCCTTTCTTTTCCTCCCTTTTTTCCTTTTTTCTTTGTTTCTCATCTTTTATTCTGTTTTTCCTTCTTCCCTTGTTTTGCTCCTTATCTCTCTTCCTTTTATCCTCCCTCCCTCCCTCCCTCCCTCCCTCCCTCCCTTCCTTCCTTCCTTCCTTCCTTCCTTCCTTTCTTCCTTCCTTCCTTCCTTTTCTACCTTTCTCTTTTGTCCTTTTTTGCCTTTTCTCCTTCTGCCTTCTTTCTTGCTTGCTTTTTTTCCTTTTTCTTTCTTTCTTGGTCTTAGTTTTTCTTTTCTTCATCTACTCTTTCTTTCACTCTTTGTAGTTCTTCCTTCCTCTTTCATCTTTTAGCAGGTTGGGTGTTTTGCCTTGCACACAGCCAGTCTGGGTTCAATCCCCGGCATCACCCCTGGGTACAGACCCAGGAATAACCCGTGTGCACAAACAGGTGTGGCCCCCCCAAAAACAAACACGATAAAAAAATGAAGAGAGTGTGTTAGGGCATTTGCCTGGCACACAGCCGACCTGGGTTCGATTCCCGGCATCCCCTAGGGTCCCCCGAGCACCGCCAGGAGTGATTCCTGAGTGCGGAGTCAGGAGGAACCCCTGAGTGTCACCAGGTAGGACCCAAAAGAAAGAAAAGAAAGAGAGAAAGAAAGAAGAAATGAAAGAAAGAAAGGAAGAAAGAAAGAAAAAAGAGAAAAAGAGAGGAAGAGACAAAGAAAAAGAGGAAGGGAGGAAGGATGGAAGGGAGGAAGGAAGGAAGGAAGAAGGGAAGGAAGGAAGGAAGGAAGGAAGGAAGGAAGGAAGGAAGGGAGAGAGAGGGGCTGGAGTGATAGCCCATTGGGGAGGGTGTTGACCTTGCACGCGGCCGACCCGGGTTCAATTCCCAGCATCCCCGAGGGTCCCCCGAGCACCGCCAGGAGGAGTCATTCCTGAGTACAGAGCCAGGAGGGACCCCTGAGCATCGCCGGGTGGGACCCATCAAGAAAGAAAGGAAAGAAAAAGAGAAAGAAGGGAAGGAGGGAAGGAGGGAGGGAGGGAAGAAGGGAAAGAGGGAGGGAGGGAGGGAGGGAGGGAAGGAAGGAAGGAAGGAAGGAAGGAAGGAAGGAAAAAGAAAGGAGGAAAGAAAGAAAGAGAGGAGAGGAAGGAAGAAAGGAAGGAAAGAAAGAAAGAAGGAAAAAAGGAGGGAAGGAAGGAAAGAAGGAAGGAAGGAAGGAAGGAAAGAGAAAGAAAGACAGACAGAAAGAAAGAAGAAAAGGAAGGAAGGAAGGAAGGAAGAAAGGAAAAAGAGAAAGAGGAGAAAAAGAAAGAGAGAAGGAGAGGAAGGAAGAAAGGAAGAAGGAAAGAAAGAAGGAAAAAAGGAGGGAAGGAAGGAAAGACAGAGAAAGAGAGAAGGAAAGAAAGAAAGAAAGAAAGAAAGAAAGGAAAGGGAGGGAGGGAAGGAAGGAAGGAAGGAAGGAAGGAAGGAAAGAAGGAAGGAAGGAATGAAGAGAGAGGGGCTGAAGTGATAGCCCAGCGTGGAGGGCATTTGCCTGGCACGCGGCTGACCCGGGTTCGATTCCCAGCATCCCCTAGGGTCCCCCCGAGTACCACCAGGAATCATTCCTGAGTGCAGATCCAGGAGTGGCCCCTGAGCATTGCTGGGTGGGACCCAAAAAAGAAAGGAAAGAAAGAAAGAAAGAAAGAAAGAAAGAAAGAAAGAAAGAGGGAGGGAGGGAGGGAGGGAAGGAAGGAAGGAAGGAAGGAAGGAAAAAGAAAGGAGGAAAGAAAGAAAGAGAGGAGAGGAAGGAAGAAAGGAAGGAAAGAAAGAAAGAAGGAAAAAAGGAGGGAAGGAAGGAAGGAAGGAAAGAAGGAAGGAAGGAAGGAAGGAAAGAGAAAGAAAGACAGACAGAAAGAAAGAAGAAAAGGAAGGAAGGAAGGAAGGAAGGAAGAAAGGAAAAAGAGAAAGAGGAGAAAAAGAAAGAGAGAAGGAGAGGAAGGAAGAAAGGAAGAAGGAAAGAAAGAAGGAAAAAAGGAGGGAAGGAAGGAAAGACAGAGAAAGAGAGAAGGAAAGAAAGAAAGAAAGAAAGAAAGAAAGGAAAGGGAGGGAGGGAAGGAAGGAAGGAAGGAAGGAAGGAAGGAAGGAAAGAAGGAAGGAAGGAATGAAGAGAGAGGGGCTGAAGTGATAGCCCAGCGTGGAGGGCATTTGCCTGGCACGCGGCTGACCCGGGTTCGATTCCCAGCATCCCCTAGGGTCCCCCCACTGAGCACCGCCAGGAGTGATCCCTGAGTGCAGAGCCAGGAGGGACCCCAGAGCATCGCCAGGTCGGACCCAAAAGAAAGAAAAGAAAATGAAGAGAAGGGGTTCCAGCCCGCACACCCAGCCCTTGTCCCACAGAGCCCCCCGCACAAAAGCAGGGGACCCAAGGGGGCCACTCCGGGACGCTGGGACCACACAGGCTTCTGCCTCCTCTGTGGCCTCACCAGTTGCCTTCAACAAATGCCCGGCGAGCTCTGAATTCACAGGCTGACCCCTGAGCCCTCGGGGGTCTCCCAGTGGGTGAGGGCATCTGGGTCACAGGGAGAGTCAGACGAGACCCCCTACATCCAACTCCGCTCGGGATTACCCAGGGGCAGCCGCCTGGTCTTGAGTCCGAACCCCAGTTCCCCCACATGCCGCCAGTCCAACCTCTGCGCCAACCAACATCACCCAGCCGCCGGGCAGTCAGGCGTGCGTGTGCCCACAGCCCCCGTCCGACCCCCGACCCCCACCGCCTCTGGAACAACAGGGACCGTCCATGCCCTTCGCGATGGAGGACGAGGAGGGGCCACACTCACCGATCTCGGGCAGCGGGTGCAGGACCTCGGAGCACGGCACGGGCCCCTCCGCGCTGCTGCCGCTGACCCAGAAACGCTGGAGGTTCCCAGAGGCCCCGGAGAAGCCACTGAAGTCGCAGGCGACGTGCACGCCCCGGGGGTCCTTGCTGTAGTGCTGACACGCCCGCACCCGCCGCGTCCTAGGGGAGCACCGGACGCCGAGTCTGTCTCAGGGCTCACCCGCCTCTCTCCCTCCTTCCCACACTCCCACCCACGGCCACGTACCTCAGGTCCTCCCAATGCAGGTGGTACTGCGTGTCGCCGGGGGCCGCGGGGCCGACGTCCCAGGAACATGTGACTGTATCCACCTCGTGCACCCAGCAGCTCAGGTGCTCGGCCGCGGACCCCGGGATCCCGTCTGCCACGGCCCCCGTGGGAGAGGAGAGGATGGGGGGTGGTGTTGGATGGGCGGGGTCCGGGCCGTGACCCAAGGCGTCCCAGAGTATTGGAGCACCAGGCAACAGTCACGCCTGTCTGCGTGTTTGTGTTTGGGCCATGCCCAGCGGTGTTCAGGGCTGACTCCTGGCTCTGTGCTCTGGGATGACTCCTGGCTCTGTGCTCAGGGCTGACTCCTGGCTCTGTGCTCAGGACTGACTCCTGGCTCTGTGCTCTGGGCTCACTCCCGGCTCTGTGCTCAGGGCTGACTCCTGGCTCTGTGCTCAGGACTGACTCCTGGCTCTGTGCTCAGGGCTGACTCCTGGCTCTCTGCTCAGGGCTGACTCTTGGCTCTGTGCTCAGGGCTGACTCCTGGCTCTGTGCTCAGGGCTGACTCCTGGCTCTGTGCTCAGGGCTAACACCCGGCTCTGTGTTCAGGCTGACTCCTGGCTCTGTGTTCAGGGCTGACTCCTGGCTCTGTGCTCAGGGCTGACTCCTGGCTCTGTGCTCAGAACTGACTCCTGGCTCTGTGCTCAGGGATGACTCCTGGCTCTGTGCTCAGGGCTGACTCCTGGCTCTGTGCTCAGGGCTGACTCCCTGTGGGGCTTGGGGGACCCCAGGGGATACCGGGGATCGAACCTGGGTCAGTTCCGTGCAAAGCCAGGGATGTACCTGCTATGCTATGCCTCCGCCCCAACATTCATGCTGCTGTTAACACGTTAACATGGGGCATAGGAAAAGAGAGGAGAAAAGAGGGAAAAGCCAAGAACGAGGGAAACTAGAAGGAGAGGAAAGAAAATGAAAGAGAAGAAAAGCAATAAAATGAAAGAAGAGAAGAAGGGAAAAGGGAAAAAGAAAAAAAAAGCAAACTAAGATAAATGGGGGAAGGGCTGGAGCGATAGCCCAGCGGGGAGGGCGTTTGCCTGGCATGCGGCCGACCTGGGTTCAATTCCCAGCATCCCCTGGGGTCCCCCGAGCACTGCCAGGAGTCATTCCTGAGTGCAGAGCCAGGAGGAACCCCTGAGCATCGCCGGGTGGGACCCCAAAAAGAAAGAAAGAAAAAAAGAATGAAGGGAAGGAGAAAAGGAGGGAGGGAGAAAGGGAGAGAGAGAGGGAAGAGAGGGAGGGTGGGAGGGAAGGGTGGAAGGAAGGAAGGAAGAAAGGGAGAGAAAGAAACAAAGAAAAAAGTAGACGAAGAAAGAAATAGAGAAAGAAAGAACAAAAGAAAGAAAAAAGGAAAGAAGGAAGGAGAAAGAGAGAAAGAAAGAAAAAGGAAAGAAAGACAAAAAGAAAGAAAGGAAGAGAGAAAGAAAAAAGAAAAAGAAAAAACAAGGAAGAAAGAAGGAAAGAGAAAGAATGAAAGGAAGGAAGGAAGGAGAGAAGGAGAGGAGGAAGGGAAGGAAGGAAGGAAGGAAGGAAGGAAGGAGGGAGAGAAGGAACCACCGAGCTCCGCCAGGAGGAAGGAAGGAAGGAAGGAAGGAAGGAAGGAAGGAAGGAAGGTCCATACAGATCCCAACATCACAGGAAACAGAAAGAAAGAAAGAAAGAAAGAAAGAAAGAAAGAAAGAAGAGATAGGAAGGAAGGAAGGAAGGAAGGGGAAGGAAGGAAGGAAGGAGGGAGGGAGGGAGGGAGGGAGGGAGGGAAGGAAGGAAGGAAGGAAGGAAGGAAGAGGGGCTGGAGTGATAGCCCAACGGGGAGGGCATTGCCCTGGCACACGGCCGACCCAGGTTCGATTCCCAGCATCCCATGGGGTCCCCCAAGGACCGCCAGGAGTAATTCCTGAGTGCAGAGCCAGGAGGGACCCCTGAGCATTGCCGGGTGGGACCCCAAAAGCATAATAAAGAAAAGAAAGAGAGGAAGGAAGGAAGGAAGGAAGGAAGGAAGGAAGGAAGGAAGATAAGAATTGAAAAGGGAAATTGAAAAGAAAAAGAGCAAACTAAATGGGAGAAAAATAACAAAAGACACAAATGACAGAAAAAAAGAGAAAGGAAGATAAAGTAATGGAAGAGAAAAAAGAAGAAGAAAAAGAAACGAGGAGGGCCAGAGTGGTAGCACAGTGGGTTGGGCATTTGCCTGGCATGCAGCTGACCCAGGTGTGATGGTGGGCACCCCCTAGACCCACGGGAGTGATTTCTGAGTGCAGAGACAGGAGTCAGCCCTGAGCACTGCAGGGTGTGTCCCCCCCCAAATAAAACAAAATGATTAAAAAAGAAAAAAAGAGAAAAGAGGACAAAAGATAAAGAAAAAAATGAGAAGAGAGAAAACACTAATTTTTAAAATGAAAGAAGAAAGGACAAAAAAGAAAAGAAAATGAGAAAAAAAGATAAAAGAGAAGGAGAAAGAAAATCAAAAGCAAAAGAATAGAAGATGTCCGGAAAAAAAAAATGGGAAACAAAGTCAGCAAAGGAAAAAGGATTAAAAGAAAAGCAAAAGAGAAAAAAGGGAAGAAAAGAAAGAAAGCCATGAGCAGGGAAGAAAGGAGGGAAGCGGAACAAGAGAAAAAACGGGGGGAAAATGGAAGAGAAAAAAAGAAAAGGAAGGAAAAGAAGAAAAAACAGAAGAACCGAGAGAAGAAAGGCAAAAAGAGAAAAAAGAGAGACGAGAAAAGCAAATGGGGTGCGCGTGTTTCTCGTTCCCCGATTCCCTGACTTTCACGCAGTCCACGAAAGCACAAGGTCTTTGCTATCTGGCAGGATTGGGGGTCGGGGGAGGAAGCCCCCCTCGGGCGCGGCCCCTCACCAGGCAGAGGGTGGAGGATCGAGGCGGAGAAGCGTGGCTCCCGGGTCGTCCGCACGGTGAAGTTGGTGGGCTGGCACATGGGCAGGAAGGGGTACTGGCAGTGGCTCCGCGCCGTGGCCTGGCAGACAGGGGACGGATGCTGGGCTTAGAGGGTGCACGTGGCTGGGCGTGGCGGCTGTCTCGTCAGGCACGATTGTCCCCGAGCGAGCATCGTGGTGTGTGCCGACCCGGATGCAGCCCCCGAACGTGGGCACCCTCTGCTCAGCGCCCTGCCTGGGGAGAATGCAGTGCCCAGTGTGCACCGGCCCACGTGGACACGTGGCATGTGGACACGTGGCATGTGGTATGTGGACACGTGGCACGTGGATACGTGGCACATGGACAAGTGGCACTTGGACATGTGACACGTGGCATGTGGACACTTGGATTGTGGCACATGGCACGTGGACATGTGCACATGGAAATGTGGCATATGTCACATGGCATGTGGACACATGGACACATGGCACGTGGACATGTGGCACTTGGACATACAACACGTGTCGTGGACACATGGCATGTGCACACAGCATGTGGCACATGGATGTGTGACGTGGCATGTGGCACACGGAAATGTGGCACATATCACGTGACATATGGACAAGTGGCACTTGGACATGTGGCATGTGGGCACTTGGATGTGTGGCACATGGCACGTGGACACGGCATGTGGCACGTGGACAAGTGCACATGGAAATGTGGCATATGTCACATGACACGTGGACAAGTGGCACTTGGACATGTGACATGTGGCATGTGGACACTTGGATACGTGGCACGTGGACACGGCATGTGGCATGTGAACATGTGACATAGCACGTGCCACATGGAAATGTGGAATATGTCACGTGACATGTGGACACGTGAGTGCGTGGCACATATCATGTGACACATGGATAAGTGGCACTTGGGCACGTGACACGTGGCATGTGGACACATGGCACGTGAAACGGCACGTGGGCACAGCAGGCGGGACATGGACATGTGATGTGGCACGTGGCACATGGAAATGTGGCATGTGGACACGTGGCCCGTGGCAAAGTAGAGGGTGCTGTGGCCGCCACCACGGTCACTGCTATTCTTGTCCACGGAGCAGGGAAGTCCGAATTCCATGTTTAAAAGTCTCTGCTTGGGAGCTGGAGCGATAGCCCAGCGGGGAGGGCGTTTGCCTTGCACGTGGCCAACCCGGGTTCGATTCCCAGCATCCCCTAGGGTCCCCCCCGAGCACTGCCAGGAGTGATTCCTCAGTGCAGAGCCAGGAGGAACCCCTGAGCATCGCCGGGTGGACCCCAAAGGCAATAAATAAATAAATAAATAAATAAAAGTCTGTGTGGTTAAGAAGAGACGGGACACGCAGGGGGAAGGGTGGAGTCGGGCTTCTCTGCCCCGCCGTGGGTGGAGAGAACCACGCGAGCTGGTGATGGGGTGGGGGAGGGGACGCGGGAAGGGGGAACACAGGTGGTCTCGCGATGGGCGAGAGAGGGAGGGAAGAACGGGCCCCCGGGCACACGAGGAGCGTCAGAGCGGGGCGTTGCCGACCTCCCTCTTGACCCCTGGGCACAGGAAGTGGGGGGACGGGGAAGGGGCCACGGCGAGAGGGGGCACGGGAGGTCACAGGGCCTTGGGGGACGCGGGACAGCTGCGGTGGTGTCAGTGTGTGTGGCAGCGATTTCTCAGAAGCAGGAGGGGAAGGGTGTGTGCCCGCAGAAAAGGAGAAGCTTCCAGAGAAGGCCACGGCCCAGATAAGCGCGCCCAGAAACGCCCGGAGACCGAGGCCAGACCCGCAGGGCACGGCTCCAGCCACGGGCGCCTCAGTCTGGGGGCAGAGACCGGTGGGTTTTGTTGAGCCCAGAGTGGCAGGGCCAAGTGGGGTCGCCCGTGTCTTAGCCCCGGAGGTGCAGAGCTGGGACCTTTGCACCCGGCACCCCCTGTGTCCTGCCCGTTCTGTCTCTCTCTGTGCCTCTCTCTCTCTGTCTCTCTTTCTCCTTCTGACTCTCTGTCTCCCTCTTTCTCTGTCTTTCTGTCTTTCTCTGTCACACTTTTTTTTCATTTCCATTCCTCTCTCTCTATTCATCTGTCTCTCTCTGTCTTTCTGTCTCTTTCTCTCTCTCTCTCTCTTTCTCTCTGTCTCTCTGTCTCTGTGCCTCTCTTTCTTTCCCTCTATCTATCTATTGTCAGCGTGTCCGGCAGCTCAGAATGGGACCCTGGTACCCGCCTGCTCACACACGGCACACGGGGCCTGGGTCTCTGAGGCTGCATGAGCCACACATGGCCAGACGTGGCCAGTCTCCAGTGTCCACCTGCTCACACATAGCTCACAGAGTCCAATCTCTGAGGTTAGATAAGCCATGCGCGGCCAGTAGTGGCCACTCCAGTACCCACCCACTCACACACAGCTCATGGAACCTGGGTCTCAGAAGTTGGACGGGCCACACGTGGGCAGCCAATGTGGCCAGCCCACACGTGGCCAGCAGTGACCACTCCAGTACCCATCCACTCACACACCGCTCATGGAACCAGGGGTCTCGGAAACCAGACGAGCCACATGTGGCCAGCCACACGTGGTCAGCAGTGACCAGTCCAGCCAGATGTGCCACACGTGGCCAGCCAATGTGGCCAGCCACTTGTGGCCAGCAGTGACCACTCCAGTACCCACCCACTCACACACAGCTCATGGAACCGGGGGTCTCAGAAACCAGACGAGCCACACGTGGCCAGCCACATGTGGCCAGCAGTGACCACTCCAGTACCTTCCCACTCACACAGCTCACAGGGCGTGACCTCTGAGACCGGACAAGCCACATATGGCCAGCAGTGACCAGTCCAGTCCCCACCCGCTCACACACAGCTCACGGAACTTGGGTCTCAGAAGTTGAATGAGCCACACGTGGTCAGCCACACGTGGCCAGCCCACATGCGGGCAGCAGTGACCAATCCAGTGCCCACCCACTCACACACAGCTCATAGAACCTGGGTATCGGAAGCCAGACGAGCCACATGTGGTCAGCCAACGTGGCCAGCCACACGTGGCCAGCAGTGATGTACCTTCCCACTCACACAGCTCACAGGGCCTGACCTCTGAGAGAGACTGGACAAGCCACATGTGGCCAGCAGTGACCAGTCCAGTACCCACCCGCTCACACACAACTCATGGAACTTGGGTCTCAGAAGTTGAATGAGCCACACGTGGTCAGCCACACGTGGCCAGCCTGCACGTGGCCAGCCCACATGCGGGCAGCAGTGACCAATCCAGTGCCCACCCACTCACACACAGCTCATAGAACCTGGGTATCGGAAGCCAGACGAGCCACATGTGGTCAGTCAACGTGGCCAGCCACACGTGGCCAGCAGTGATGTACCTTCCCACTCACACAGCTCACAGGGCCTGACCTCTGAGAGAGACTGGACAAGCCACATGTGGCCAGCAGTGACCAGTCCACTACCCACCTGCTCACACACGGCTGACAGATCCGAATCTCTGAGGTTGCATGAGCCATACGTGGCTGGCCGTGGTGGCCAGTGCTTCCACGCCTGACGGGGACAGACACGGAAAGGGGTCCCGAGCCGGGCAGCCTGGCCAGGGACGCTCACCTTGCGGACACTCCCCAAGCCGCTGATGCAGACGACGTCCGTGATGTTGTCCCAAAGGTCCCACGTGAGTCTCCTCTGAGCTGGGTCCATGCGCAGATTCCAGATGGGTGGGTCGGACTCTGCCAGACCTGCAGGGGGTGGGGGACAGTCAGGGCCACTTCCTGGACACCTGCCGGCAGCGAATGTGCCCTACAGGGGAGCACATGTGGTCCCCCAAGCAAGCGCACACACTGGAGGGGTTACGGCCGTTACTCCGCGTGCAACCGAGTCCAGCGTCCTGTGTGGCTGGGCACGGTGCCCTGAGCACACCAGGGTGGCGGTTGGTCCATGCCGGCTGTGGCACAAAGCTCCCGACGGCCCCAAACACACACACAGACACACACACACACACATACATAGACACAGGAAAAATAAACCCCCAAAACTGGGCAGCAGAGATAATGCAGCGTTAAGGCTTCTGGGGCGGAGACCCAGCTCCGTGCGATTGCCCCAGGCCAGAAGTGACGCAGAGCACAGAGCCGGGAGTCAGCCCTGAGCGCAGAGCCGGGAGTCAGCCCTGAGCACTGAGCCCGGAGTCAGCCCTGAGCTCAGAGCCAGGAGTCAGATGTGAGCACTTAGCTGGGAATCAGCCCTGAGCACAGAGCCGGGAGTCAGCTCTGAGCACAGAGCTGGGAGTCAGCCCTGAGCACTAAGCTGGGAGTCAGCCATGAGCACTTAGATGGGAGTCATCCCTGAGCACAGAGCCGGGAGTCAGCCATGACGTCCATCATCCCCTCCCTGAGCTCAGGCACGGGCAGAGCCCAAGGCGTCCACTAGGCATTGTCCACTCCCAGCCGGTGTCCAGCTAAGCCCTGCAAGCCCCCTCTGTGTCACGGCCGAGCCTCTCTCCAAGACCCCCGCCCCCCAGGGGTCACTCCCGCCCGGCGCCCTCCCCCTTGGTCCTGCCGGCCACCTACCCTGGTCAGCGGCGGCGTGGGGCGGGCTGTGGGCGGCCGCCAGGAGCATCCACAGCCAGAGGACGGCCACAGAGAGGACGGAGGCGGCCACAGGAGGGCTGGACGCTGCAAGAGAAAGGAGGAAGAGGCTGGCCAGGGGGGCTCGGGGTGGGGTGGACACGGGTCACTGTCACAGAGGAGGGGGGGCCCGGGGGATGGGACGGCGGGGAGGGCGGGAGGGTGGTGGCCGGCTTGCAGCTGACCCAGGCCAGAGTCCGGCATCGCACTGGGTTCCGGGAGCAGGGGCCAGGAGCGATTCCTGAGCGAAAAGGGAGAGAGAGAGACAGAGACACAGAGAAAAAGACAGAGAGAGACAGAAGGAGACAGAGACAGAGACACAGAGACAGAGAAAAAGACAGAGACGGGAGACAGAGACAGAGAGATAGAGACAGAAAGAGGTAGAGATAGACAGACAGACATGGACAGAGAGGAAGAGACAGAGAGAAATAGAGACAGAGAGAGACCGAGAGAGACAGACAGAGACAGACAGAGATAGACAGAGACATAGAGAGGAAGAGAGGGAGAGACAGAGAGAGAGAAAGAGAGAGACAGAGAGACAGAGACAGAGAGACAGAGAAAAAGACAGAGAGAGACAGAAGGAGACAGAGACACAGAGACAGAGAAAAAGACAGAGAGAGACAGAAGGAGACAGAGACACACAGAGAGAGACAGAGATAGAGACAGAGAGACAGAGACAGAAAGAGGTAGAGATAGACAGAGACATGAACAGAGAGGAAGAGACAGAGAGAAATAGAGACAGAGAGAGACAGAGAGAGACAGACAGACAGAGACAGAGACAGACAGAGACATGAACAGAGAGGAAGAGACACAGAGAAATAGAGACAGAGACAGAGAGAGACAGACAGAGACAGAGACAGAGACATGGACAGAGAGGAAGAGACAGAGAGAAATAGAGACAGAGAGAGACAGAGAGAGAGACAGACAGAGACAGAGACAGACAGAGACATGGACAGAGAGGAAGAGACACAGAGAGACAGAGAGAGACAGAGAAAGAGACAGACAGAGATAGACAGAGACATAGACAGAGAGGAAGAGAGAGAAGAGAGGGAGAGACAGGGAGAGAGAAAGAGACAGAGAGACAGAGACAGGAGAGACAGAGAGAGGGAGGGAGACAGAGACAGAGAGAGGGAGAGAGAGACAGAGACAGAGAGGGAGGAAGGACAGAGAGAGAAACAGACAGAGACAAAGAGACAGAGAGAGAGGAAGAGGAAGAGAAAGAGGAGACAGAGAGTGAGAGGGATGAGGACCGAGAGAGGGAGAGACAGAGATAGAGACAGAGAGGCAGAGAGAGGAAGAGAGAGAGAAGGAGAAGAAGAGAGAGAGACAGAGAGAGACAGAGACGGGGAGATAGAGAGAGACGGAGAGAGACAGAGAGATGGGGAGGGAGAGAAAAAGGGAGGGAGAGAGGGAGGTGGAGAAAGGGAGAGAGAGAGGAGGGAGGGAGAGAGAGAGGGAGAGACCTCGTTGACAGGGGTTCCGTGTCCAACGCCACGTGGTCCCCGTGTGGTCGCCTGCTCTCCATGCAGGTCTTGGTGTCCTCACATGTGCTCACATGTCGTTCACACATGCCTGCACCCGTGAATCCTTTACGCCATCACGGCTGTGCACACACACGGGCCCACGAGATGTGCATGTGTGTGTCCACAGACGTGAGAAGTGTGGACGGCCACGTCTGTGCGTGCCTGTGTGCAGACGTCATGGGTGTGGACTGTTTTCTTGCATGCATGCATGCATGTGCACAGGGGTGCACGTGCCCGCGTGTGGCATGCCCACCATGTACTGGCCTGCGTGGACATCACATGGCCGTGTGCAAGCATGGCGACAGGTGTACAGGAGTGTGTACTCGTGTGTGTGTGTGTGCCCTGTGAATGCCTCACACCCTCAGCACTCTCCTCGAGTCCACACGTGGCAGCTCCACATGTCTGTCTGTCCATGCACATACATGCACTCACGTGTCAAAGCGTGCATAGATGCACCTGCATCTGTATGTGCATGTGTGTGTACCTATGTACATGTGTGTATGACTGTGGGTGGGTGTCCCCCGTGTGCCTGCGTGTCTGAGTGTGTGAACGGCCACGTACCCTTGTTTGTACGGGAGGACTCACATGTGCGTGTGCACGTATGTATCTCCGCCAGGTCACACCGGTGCCTGTGTGTGTGAGTGTGTGTCCATGGCTGTCAGTGTGTGAACACGCATACACACCCTGCTGATGCTCAGCGTGTGCATATGTGTACGGGTGTGTAGGAGTCTGTGTCTGCGTGCACGCATGTTCATGGTTATCTCGGTAGCCCTAGAACCCAGCTCTGCCGACATCCAGATGGCTCCGTGTGTGGAATCTGGACACATATGTGTGCCCATGTGTGGCATCTGGACATGTTTGTGCACCTGTGTGTGGCATCTGGACACACATGTGCACCTGAGTGTGTGGAAACTGGACATGTGTGTGCAACCGTGTGTTGGCATCTGGGCATGCATGTGCACCCGTGTGTTGGCACCTGGACATGCGTGTGCACTTGTGTGTTGGCACCTGGACATGCGTGTGCACTTGTGTGTTGGCACCTGGACATGCGTGTGCACCCATGTGTTGGCACCTGGACATGCATGTGCACCTGTATGTTGGCATCTGGACATGTGTGTGCACCCGTGTGTTGGCATCTGGATACACATGTGCACCCGTGTGTTGGCAACTGGACATGCATGTGCACCCATGTGTTGGCATCTGAACATGTGTGTGTGTACCTGTGTGCTGATATCTAGACATGTGTGTGCACCCGTGTGTTGGCATCTGCACATGCGTGTGCACCATGTGTGGCAACTGGACATGCGTGTGCACCCGTGTGTTGGCACCTGGACATGCATGTGCACCTGTGTGTTGGCACCTGGACATGTGTGTGCACCCGTGTGTTGGCACCTGGACATGTGTGTGCACCCGTGTGTTGGCACCTGGGCATGCGTGTGCACCCGTGGCTGCATCTACTTACAGAGCCGATTCTGCCCGCACCCACGTGACTCCACGGAGGGCGTCTCCACACATGGGGGCAGACGGTCACGGGGCCTGTGTCCTGCCTGATGTTCCCAGTCACCCGCCCTGGCGTGGAGCCCGCCTCACCCCCACCCCCACCCCCCACGATGCTCTTGGCTGCATCCGGGAAAGCCCGTGGGCAGTGGCCACTCAGGAAGGCCCAGGCCTCCGGGCGGGAAGGAAGCGGGAGCTGCAGGGGGAGCCAGGGGCCGTTTCCTCGAGCCCCAGTTACCGTAACTGACCCCGGCCCTGCCCCTGAGGGCCCCACGGGCCGGTCAGCTCGAGGCTGATGGTCGGACGCTGCCCCTGAGAAAGTCTCCCCCATCCACCACGACCCGTCCCTACCTCCCTCCCTCCCTCTCCCCATCTCTCTGTCTTTTTCTCTCCCTCTCTCCCTCTCTCCTTGTCTCCCTCTTTCTCTGCCTCCCTCTCTCTCCTTCTCTCTCCCTTCTTCTCTCTCTCCCTCTCATTCTCTCTCTCCCTCTCCCCCTCTCTCCTTCTCTCTCTGTCTCCCTCCCTCTCTCCCTCTCTCTTCCTCTCCCTCTGTCTCTGTCCCTCTCTCTTTCTCTTTCTCCCTCTCTCTCCCTCTCTCCCTCTCCTTCTCTCTCTCCCTCTCTCTCCTTCTCCCTCTTTCTCTCTCCCTCCCTCTCTCTCCCTCTCATTCTCTCTCTCCCTCTCCCCCTCTCTCCTTCTCTCTCTGTCTCCCTCCCTCTCTCCCTCTCTCTTCCTCTCCCTCTGTCTCTCTCTGTCCCTCTCTCTCCCTTTCTCTCTCCCTCTCTCCCTCTCTCTTCCTCTCTCTCTCCCTCTCCCTCTCCTTCTCTCTCTCCCTCTCTCCCTCTTCCTCTCTTCCTCTCTCTCCCCCTTTCTCTCTGTCTCCTTCTCTCTCTCCCTCCCTCTCTCTCCCTCTCCTTCTCTCTCTCCCTCTCCTTCTTTCTCTCTCTCCCTCTCTCTTCCTCTCCCTCTGTCTCTCTCTGTCCCTCTCTCTTTCTCTTTCTCCCTCTCTCCCTTTCTCTCCCTTTCTCTCTCCCTCTCTCTTCCTCTCTCTCTCCCTCTCCCTCTCCTCTCTCTCCCTCTCTCTCTCCCTCTCTCCCTCTCCCTCTCTTCCTCTCTCTCCCCCTTTCTCTCCGCCTCCTTCTCTCTCTCCCTCTATCTTCCTCTCCCTCTCTCTTCTTCTCCCTCTTTCTCTCTCTCCCTCCCTCTCTCTCCCTCTCCTTCTCTCTCTCCCTCTCCTTCTTTCTCCCTCTCCCTCTCTCTCTCTCTCTCTTTCTCTCTCTGTCCCTCCACCTCTGCCCTTCTCTTTCTCCACTTTCATTCCAATTTCATTTCCGCCTGAGGACTTTCTCGGGGGCCCAACGGGGCAGCCTGGGGCAGCTTCAGCACTAGGCCAGCCCTTGGCCGGGATTCGACCCTGGGTTGTCTCGGGACAGCCGTGATCATCACGGGCTCATTTTCTCCGTGTCCTTCAAAGTGCTCCCAGAGCGAGTCCCTCTCTGGACACTCCCCCGGGGAAGTCTGCATTCTCTCACCCGGCCGGTCCTCCTTGTCTCCGTGACGATGACAACAGGGTGACCCCCCAAGCTGGGCTTCTGGGGAGAGTCTGAGCTAGACCCCGAGTCCCTCCGTCTCGACAGACCCCCCGCCAGTGAGAATCTCCGTGTGCACACACCCCAGGGTCCGAGGAAGGAGCTCCGGGCGGGTCCCTGTCCCCAGGAGGGAGGCAGAGCGGCAGGATGGCTCAGTGCTCAGTGGACACTGGTGGCCAGGGATCTGCAGGGAGGTGGCTGGACGGAGCCCCGCACGGGTGTGGTACTGACCAGACCCCTCCTGCCCCGTCTTCACGGACCCGTGCCAGGTTCGAGGCGATGCATTTGTTCGTGGGGGCGGGGTCATGCCTGAGGGGGCCTCCCCCCGGATCATTCCGGGGGCTGTGTGAGGGGCTGGGGTGGAGCTGGGGTCAACCGCTTGCCAGGCGAGTGCCCTGCCCGCTGTGATGATGACACAGTGACCGCAAGGAAACAAAGGCACAAGTTCCATCTGTGTCTCTCTGTCTCTCTCTTTTTCTCTCTCTCTGCCTCTGTTTCTTTTTCTGTCTCTCTCTGTCTTTCTGCCTCCGTCTCTCTTTATCTCTCTCTGTCTCTATCTCTGTCTCTCTATCTCTTTTTCTCTGTCTCTCTGCCT